CTTACCACAACACTTTTGAGACTGGTGTAGCGAAGCGGTGAACGAGTAAACAACACGTGTGATTCATTTCATAAGAAAAGCAGGTAAACAATTATGTCCATTGTGGTAAAAGCTCTTTTGTTTCAACTAAAAGGTGTAAAGAGTTAACAAAAGCAATTGAAAAATTGTTATATAGATACGGCTTTCTATAGGGAGCATAATTTCTTTGTTTAGATAAAAGTTCTGAATTATTGTTGATTTCTAAGTATTCGTGGTATTAAAGCTTATCTTTTTAGTAAAGCAAGTGTCTGTACGTTGTTTTTAAAATTAAAATTTCATAAACTACAAAATTAAGTCCCAAAAAATCAAGGAAAAAAGTAAATATTAAGAATTTTGTAGCTGGCCCTACTTTCAGAGCCGAAAGCTCATGATTATATACATAAGCATGGAACTTTTAAAACTGACGAAATGAAATAGTAAACGAGTAAATTACACCTATAACTTATGATGGGAAACAAACAAGCCTATAGTGGAATAAGATTTTAAAGCTACTCTTGCTACAAGTGTACATGACAACACACTGTAGGTATTTGAGGCTGGTTGAGCAAACAAAATGAATCAGTGAATGTGTGAATAAAAAGCATGACTCATTTTGTAAAACAATCTATGCAATACAAAGACAATACAAATTCTTTTAAAATGCTCATTAGAAAATTAAAAGTAACTAATTACATTTTCATAATGATTTACATTGGAATTTAACAACATAATTTACTAATGAAGTTATAGTGATCGTTTTAAATATTAATTACTGTTACTTTTATATTCGACAAACATGAATCATATTTATTTATTATAGCCATTGCAATTTATACCTTGAAGCAAATAACCAATGGAGTAATTTATAAAGTTATAATAAATATAATCTAACTAAATACAAAAAGTAAATTTAATAAAACTCTAACAACTCACGAAGAAATTATGAAAACCAAGAAATTTGATAAGACATTTAATAAACATAGACTATCATAACACTTCATCAATTTTCATATAATTAAACGTATCAAACCGAATTATTTTCAGATCAAATCATCAGAAACCCAATATGCTTTTTAATAAATAAAACTTAAACCACGTCACACACAAGGGTTATATTACAATGTTAAAAGAATGGAGCTAACAAATACTAAACCATACGTCTTGTCTCGAAAACAATACTATATGTCATTCAAATAACGTTAAAAAATATAAAAAAGGAAGACTTCAAACAAAGTAGTTCTAATAACGAAACACCAACAAACATTTAAAAACAAATTAATCGTATTTTATATCTATTAAAATATTATGTGACAAATAAAACATGTATTTTTGAACGAAACTATGGCAATTGTTATATTTTAATAAGAGAGAAAGAATCAACTTAATTTCAAAAACATGCCACTTAAAATACCAAGTTACATGTTATTTCTCAAAAATGAAACTCAAAAACAAATTAATAGTAACGAGAAATTCTAGAAACTGAAAAGCCAATAATTGTATTTTTTAAAAGGAAACAAATGGAGCGATTGACTTCAATGTGAACGGAAAATAATCGAATCTAGCATAACAGCACTTAAAAAATAAAGAACTCACGACTAGTTCAAATCACAGAAGAGAAAATAAAAAAGTATATGAAAAACTAAGAAGTTTGTCTTACCGAAAGCACGTCTACACTCTACCACAACACCTTTAAGACTGGTGTAGCGAAGCAGTAAACGAGTAAACAACACGTGTGATTCATTTCACAAGTGAAGCAGGTAAACAATTATGTCCATTGTGGTAAAAGCTCTTTTGTTTCACCTAAAAAGTACACAGAATTAACAAAAGCAATAATTGGAAAATTATTTTCAAGATATGGGTTTCTATTATACCATTCCTTCGTTAAGATAATAAATGCTGAATAACTGTTGATTTGTTTGTAATCGTGGTATAAAAACTTATTTTTTAGTGCAACTTGTGAGTGTTCGTAAAATTAAAATTTCAATAATTACTACAAAATTAAGGAAATGTAGTAAATACTTAAAATATTGGAACTGGCCCTACTTTCAGAGCAGAAAGCACGTATACACACCAGCAAGCACCTCTATGACCAGTAAATGACTAAATTACTAAATAATGAGGGCAAACAAATAAGGTCATGGTGGAGAGACTTTCAAGCTACCCTTGTTACAAGTGCACATGATAACACATTGTAGATATTTGAGACTGGCTTAGCAAACAAAACGAAATATTAAATGTGTGAATCAAAGGTCTGATTAATTTTGTAACACAGACTATGCAATACAAGTTCATTAGAACATTATAAATAATTGACAATAATTTAATAATTATCTTCATTTGAATGTTACAACATAATTAATAGTGATCGTTTAAAGTATTAATTACTGTTACAAATTTATTTGATAAATGTGAATCATTTATAATTTTACTAATATTATTCAAAATTATTAATTAAAGAAAATAATCAAAATAGTATTTTATAATAGCATAAACTAATTTAAAACAATAAATAAACTCTACAAAACTAAAACAACCCATGAATAAATTATTAAGACCAAGAAAGAGTAGAAATTACTATTAAGCATTGCGTATTTTAATTTAATTAAATTTGTCAAATCGAGCTGTTACAAGATCTTAACCATGTCACAATTAATATATTACAAAGCTAAAACAAATTGAACTAACAAAAATATGTCTCTTAATACTAAATCATGCGCATTTTCTCAAAAATACTAGTAGTACGTGTATGTAATTCAAAACATGTAAAAGTATAAAAAAGATTAAAATATAAAAGAAATTAGTTCTAGTAACGAAACACCAACAAACACAAAAAAAACAATTAATCGTATTTTTACCTATTAAAATATTACGTGATAAGAAAAACATGTATTTTTGAAAGAAACTATGGCAATTATTATATTTCAATAAGAGAAAAAGAGCAAACTAAACTTAAAAAACATGCCACGTTACACGTTATTTCTCAAAAATAAAACTCAATAACCCGTAAAAATAAGCATTTGTGATAAAAATTCAAGTACGGAAACTCAAAAACTTTACATTTTTTAAAAAGGAAACAAACGGAGCTATTGACTGCAATTCGAACGGAAAATAATTGAATTTAGCATATTAGCACTTGAAAAATAGAAGTCACGACTAGATCATACCACATAAGAGAAGTAAAAAAGTATATGAAAAACTTAGAAGTTGTTCTTACCGAAAGCACATCTACACTCTACCACAACACCTTCGAGACTGGTGAAGCGAAGCATTGAACGGGTAAACAACACGTGTGAGTCATTTTTTCGTAAATGATGCGGGTCAACAAATATGCCCATTGTGGTAAAAACTCCTTTGTTTCACCTAAAAGGTGCACAAAATTAACAAAAGCTAAAGGAAATTATCATTTAATGAAAGCCTTATTTATTTCGACGAAAAGTTTTGTACCTGTGGTATTTAGTCGGGTATACAAAATATAGCAGATTATAAATCTCACCTATTGTTTATTATATTTGATCAATTGTGCATTCAAAATGCAATACAGATAAATATTCTTAGTGAAAAATGAAACAGACTTGAAAGAAATGCTTAAGTTTGTAGGAACCGTTCTGCAAGCCATTGCATTTTAGCATTATACTATCTACTTAACGTCTAACATTATTAATGAAATAAATGGTGACAGATATATAATAACACTTAACTTAAGGTATATATAACAAGGGTAAAATGCATGTAGTTGAGATTCTATTGAGATGCGAATATGTAAATATTAGCAGAATTGCCTGCTGGATGGCCGCGTTGCGGAAAGTATCGCGCGCGGCACGAGCGGCGAATACGTGACTGAGTGTTTATAATGTTGTCTACTACAATTTTACCTTAACAATTTTAATCATAACCTTCAAACGAGAAAATCGAAAGAAAAAAAGAAAACATGAAATTAATACATATTAGTAATACCTGACTAGATAACAACGAACCCATACTATAAAACAAATAACGTAATATCCAAAGTAAAATATTTATACCAAATCAATATTAAGTAAAAATCTTGTGGAGGATCTAAAAGGACAAAACTCAATACAATCTAAACCTACAAACGAAAAATCAAAAGACGAGTAAAACAAAAAATTCAAAGCTTATAAAACAATATAAACCTACAAATCAAAAATCATAAGAAAAAAGTCCAAGAAGAAAACTATATATGTTAAATAGTAATTATACTTTTGAAATAAAAAAAAACCTCATCAATTCATGTACAAACCTGGGATATTTCAAACCTATATCATTGTCATTAAATTTAAGAGGAGGAACCAAAAACACAAAATCAATACAAATTCAAACCTACAAAGGAAAAAACCAAGACTAAAAAACAAAATGTTAAAAATAATAATGATTTCGAAGCCCATTTAATAAAATGAAAAAACAAAAGGAAAAAAAAAACAAAAAAAAAAGGATTGTGAAAGTAGATTATCTATTGAATTCTAATTAAGGTCGGAAAAAGGCTAAATTCAATATAAACCAAATCTGCTTACAAAAAGGAAATGACAGAAAAATATAGAAAATGGAACATATTTTGCAAAATCACTAAAATACTAAACTCCGGTGCGATTTGTGTCCAAAATTGCAATCCACTGGCAGGAGTCGCAACGGGCACACTTCTGGATCATGAACCCCATATTGACGACTTAATATTTGTGCAATATCGTGTAGTAATTTAAATAAGATATTTTAATCGATATCGATATTGTCATATAAGGTAATCAAATTAAGACGATAATTAAAAAACTAAAAAAAAAAACAAATACCTAAACTAACTAGCCAACAAAAATCAAAACAAATAATGTGATTGGCTTAAATTTGTACGCGAGAACAAACTAAACTAACAAAACAAAATTCAGAACTTATAAAATCCACGACTAATCAAAAAATAAAAAACACTCCATAAAATAAAATATAAAAAAATAACTGCCCGAAAAACTTTGAAAATGGTCTTACCGAAATTACGTCCACACTCTACCAAAACAAATTTGAGACTTGTGAAGCGAAGTAGTGAACGGGTAAAGAACAGGTTTGACTCAGTTTTAATAAGTGAAACAGGTAAACAATTATGTCCATTATGGTAAAGCTGCTTTGTTTTACCTAAAAATGGGACAGAATTAATAAAAGCAATTGGGAAATTATCTACTTTTTATAGTGCAGCTTGTTCGTTTGTTCGTCGTTTTTAATATTAAAATTTCAAAATTATGACAAAATTAAATCACAAGAAATCAAGGAAATAAACTATATGTTAAAATGTTTGAAGCCTTGGCCCTACTTTCAGAGGAGAAAGCAGTATATAACCATCACAGAAATTATAAGACTGACAAACCAAAGAGTGAACGAGTAAATGACATGTAAAACTTAAGATAACAAACAAAAAGACTTATGATGCTATAAGATTTTAAATTTACCCTCGTCACACATCTGCACGACAGCATATAGGTATTTGAGACTGGCTGAGCAGAGAAACGAAAGAACGCACGAACCATTCAATACAAAACCCTTCAATACGTCATTATGATATTATAAATACTAATAATACTTTCTTTATGATGAACATTGGAAACTGACAGCATAGTTTTGGGATGAGCAATAACAATTACTCTACATTTTTTTTTATAATTTATTATTTTAAGTTTAGGCAAATTGTTTGTTAAAGAAAATAATCAACAGAGGTTTTTTTTATAGAAATAGAAAAGTAAATTCTACGATACTCAAACAAACAATGAAGAATTATTATAACCAAGACAAAAAAAAACAATAAACACATTCTATTCACTTCATATATTTTAATTTAACTAAATTTATCAAACCGTCACAATGATTCTATTACTAAGCTAGAAAAATTATATCACTAAATACTAAACCATTAGCCTTGTCAATTTTTTTTTAAATACGTAAAATAAACTTGAAAAAATAAAAACGAATCAATAAAGAAATTTCAACAAACACCAAAAACCAAATAAATAGTATTTTATACCTAATAGGCAGATTTCGAAATTATTATTATTAAGAGAAAAAGAACCAATTAGCTAATGCAATTAAATTTCATTAATATTTCACTTAATAATACTAATTCACACGGTATTTCTCAAAACTAAAACAACTCATTGAAAATCAAAAGAGGCATATGTAGTAAATAAAAGACAAGGGAATTCCAAAACTTAGTAGCAACAAAAAAAACAAGAAACAAAAAAGCCAAAAATAGTATTTTTATTGGACTATAATTTTAAAAGGCAAACAAATGGAAAATTACCTACACTAGTAAAACAGAACTTGAAAAAAATATGGAATCTATGACTATGTCATAAAACAATATATGAAATAAATATATTTGAAAAACTTGGAAATTGGTCTTACCGAAAGCACGTCCACACTCTACCGCAACACTTTTGAAACTGGTGTAGCGAAGCGGTGAACGAGTAAACAACACGTGTGATTCATTTCATAAATGAAGCAGGTAAACAATTATGTCCATTGTAGTAAAAGCTCTTATGTTTCAACTAAAAGATGTATTGAGTTAACAAAAGCAATTGTAAAATTGTTATATAGATATGGATTTCTATAGGGAGCATCATTTCTTTGTTTTGATAAAAAGTGATAGAATTATTGTAGCTTATATTTTGTGTGAAACATGTATATGTAAGTAGTTTTTAAAATTAAAATTTTTAAATCTACGAAATGAAATCCCAAATAGTCAAGAAACAAAGTAAATATTAAGAATTTTGTAGCTGGCCCTACTTTCGGAGCAGAATGCTCTAATTATATACATCAATATGGCACTTTTGAATCTGACGAAATGAAATTGTGAAAAAGAGCCCACCCCGTAGTAGAATAAGATTTTAAAGCTACCCTTTTGCTACAAGTATACATGACAACACACTGTAGGTATGAGTAGAGGCTCGATGAGCAAACGAATGAAACAGTGAATGTGTAAATAAAAAGCCTGACTTATTTTGTAAAATAAACTATGTAATACGAAGACAATATACATTCTTTTAAAAACCTCATTAGAAAATAATAAATAACTGGCTATATTTTCATAACGATTTAAATTGGAATTTAACAGCATTATTTACTAATGACCTAATAGTCATCGTTTAAAATCTTAATTACTGTTACACATATATTCGACAAACATGAATCATATTTATTTATTTATTATAGCCATAGAAAATTATTACTTGAAGAAAATAAGCAACAGAGGAATTTATAAAGTTATGATAAACGCGAATCTAACCTAAAACAAAAAGTAAATTCAACAAAACTCAAACAATCCACGAAGCAAATAAAGTAAATATTTAAAATGTTGATACTGGCCCTACTTTCAGAGCAGAAAGCACGTATACACACCAGCAAGGACCTCTGTGACCAGTGAACGACTAAATTACTAAATGATAATGGCAAACATATAAACTCATGGTGGAGAGACTCTAAAGCTACCCTTGTTACAAGTGCACACGACAACACATTGTAGATATTTGAGACTGGCTTAGCAAACTAAACGAAATAGTAATTGTGTGAATCAAAGGTCTGATTAATGTTGTAATACATGCATAGTTTGTACAAGTTCATTAGAACATTATAAATAATTGACAATAATTTAATAATTATCTTCATTTGAATGTTACAACATAATAAATAGGGATCGTTTAAAATATTAATTACTATTACAAATTTATTTGATAAAAGTGAATCATATTTATAAATTTACTAATATAGACATAGCAAATTTTTCATTGAAGAAAATAACCAAAATATTAATTTGTAAAGTTTTTATAAAAGCATAAACTAATTTAAAACAATAAATAAACGGAACAAAACTATAACAACCCATGTAGAAATTATTAAGATTATTAAGATTATTAAGATAGAAAGAAATTATTAAGATAGACAAGAAATTCAATAAACATTGACTATTAGGACGTATTTTATATCTATGAAAATATTATGTGACAATTAAAACATATATTTTTGAACGAAACTATGGTGATTGTTATATTTTAAGCGATTGACTACAGTTTGAACGGAGAATAACCTAATCTAGAATAACAGCACTTAAAAAAAAATAAAGAACTCACGACTAGTTCAAATCACAGAAGAGAAAATAAAAAAGTATAAGAAAAACTTAGGAGTTGGTCTTACCAAAAGCACGTCTACACTTTACCACAACACTTTTGAGACTGGTGAAGCGAAGCATTGAACGGGTAAACAACACGTGTGAGTAATTTTTTCATAAGTGATGCAGGTCAACAATTATGCCCATTGTGGTAAATACTCCTTTGTTTCACCTAAAAGGTGCACAAAATTAACAAAAGCAATTGGAAATTATCTTTTAATGAAAGCCTTATTTATTTAGATAAAAGTTTTGTACCCGTGGTATTTAGTCGGGTATACAAAAATTTGCAGATTATAAATCTAACCTATTGTGTATTATATTTGTTAATTGTGCATTCAAAATGCTATATAGATAAATATTTTTAATGAAAAATACCAATTAATACCTACCAACAAATAGTACCCAACGAGGTACCTGTAGATTGAAGAAAAAAAAAATCTTAAAAATATCTATTGTTTATTTATGTTCATTTAATTTTTTGGTATTATCACCGAACTGGGAAATTTAAAGTGAATATTTATTTTCTGATGTGTCAACATTTTCTTCTTTAGTTTTGTGTATATTGTCAAAAAGCGCCCGAAGCTGGAAATTAGCTGGAAATATCCAGACGTAAAATGACTATAATTTTGGTAAAAATAATCAAAGTCCTTAAATAATTATGATTTTACAATAGTAACAGTTTAATCAAAAACGTCCACTGCTGGACAAACCCCCTCAAAAATCTCCACGGTCGATCGGTCCCGTGCGGTCATCTCCATCGCCCATTGAGTCCATTTGAGCTGATGGTGATGGTGAGCTTATGGGACTTGATAGAAATGCTTATGTTTTTAAGAACCGTTCTGCAAGCCATTACTACTAATCTCAACAAGTTGCATTTTATCATTATACTATCTACCTAAAGTCTAAAAATATTTAGTGAATTCAATGGTGACAGATATATGAAAATATTGAACTTCAGGTATATATTACAAGGGCAAAATGAAAGTAGTTCAGACTTTATTGAGATGCGATTATGTTGACATTAGCAGAATGGCCGCGTTGCGGACAGCGGGCAACAAGTGTCACGCATGAATCGAGCAGCGAAAACGCTACTGAGTGATTATAGTGTTGTTTACTACAATTTGAATTTTAAAACGTTATCGACACTATACCCACGTCCAGTATGAGGCCTCTCTTTTAAGCTATGTCTGATATGAGTGTTTGTATACTTAAAAAAAAGAGCCGACATTGGTATTCGTAAAATATCCTGATTTCAGAATTACATATTTTTTATCATTTGCTATAGAATCAGAACAAGAGGATGAATGCGATACGACTGATTTTAAATGTTCAAATGACTCTCTTTGCGTGGAGAGATCGCAAGTGTGCGACGGCTTCAAAGACTGCCCCGGCGGCGATGATGAGCTGCTGTCATTATGTGAACAGTTTACATGCCAGCCACACGAGTTCAAGTGAGTTTTTATTCTTTGTAAATATACACGGTGTTACATTTAGAACGGTCATAATGAGAAAGTTTGAAACTATAAGATATACGAAGATCTTGTATTACGAATCATGTCGTCGATATCAGTGATAAAAAACGAATATTTTTAAAACTAGCTGTCAGTTCAGGAATAGAATCTGGACGTTTTGAAAAATGAAACCAACATTATTGCCACTTGGATACTGAGTGTGTAGTATATATTAAGCAGTTAGTCTATACATAGTATTTAATAAAGTCGCTTTTCCCACTGTCTGTACGGTTCAAAAGCAAATGATCTCAGTTTTTAAACTATACAATAGATTTTAATGCCGTTTCCGTAGAACGAACGAGATAGAACGAGCCAAACGATGACGTCGTTCGATAAGCAATCACAATCTTTAATTAAGTTATTGAATTCCTTGAAAACTCCTTTGATATTCACCACACATATAATTTTCAAGTAACTAACTTCTAAAGATAGTATTAAATTCTTAATTCATAATATAATCCGAAAACGTTTACACACGGCTGCACGTCAGACTCATATTGTGAACTTTGTACCTACCTCGCTTTGTAAAGATCTTCCCTACTGGCAGAGGTCTGCTTACGGTGACGTGCAACCGTGCGTACATAAAAATAGTTTTGGCCAAGATGTAAAATGATGTAAAACATTTTTGGAAGTTATTATAGTTAGATCTTTTACGTACCGGTGGAGAGATTTTTGTAAATTGTGCCACAGTGAACGTGTTAAATATATCTATGTTTTATCCTCAGGTGCACCATAGGATCTTGTATACCTGCAGTTTTCAAGTGTGATGGTGAGCCTGATTGCACCGATGGCTCCGACGAAATTGATTGCCGTGAGTGTTCTGACGTTCATAGTGTGACTTTAAAAGCAGCTCAGAAATATAGCACCTAAAGGTTTTGCGGTTTTGTGATTCACAGCGAACATGACATGCCTTCCGGGACTCTTCCAGTGTCGCAATAAGCAATGTATCGAGATGATGAGACGTTGCGACGGTCAACAAGACTGTCTTGATACGTCCGACGAAGAAGACTGTGGACCACGTCGCGACGTTATCGTGGTTAGTCATTAGATTAAGTGTGCTGTTTTTAAAACTACTATATTTATATTTAATGAAGAATGCTTAAAATCCACCAGCCTCAAGTACCCCGAGATGGGACACGAACCCACAACCTTTCGCAAATTGGGGCTACTGCTCGAACCATTAAGCTACTCGAAAACCAACAGGATTGACGATTTTTTCCAAGCGCTTCTTACTTTTTCGCTACTAGTGATCGTATTTTCATCCATGTTCAGGCAAACCACCTGTTTGGGTGGAATATTGAAATATCCCACGAAAATATGTTCATGTAAAATGTTGCCAAATAGAGAGATCATATGACTCGCACTATCAAAACATTCTAACTTTTACTTCACAAACACTATGCCTTATTCAAAACATGTGGCTTGACCGTTCTGCTACCATCATATGAACATAAGGTGAAAAATTTATTTACTGTTCAAACGAAACGGCCAAGCCACATATTTTGAAGGAGGTGTTTGTGAAGTAAGGGCTTGTAGAGTTAGGGACTGTAGAATTAGAATCTTGGGATAGTTATATATAAATCCTTTGTGCTTTTTTTGTTATTATTATGATTCCTTTATTATTAAAACACCTTCAATGTACAGGATCCACAACATAATTGCGATGACGGAGAATTGGCTTGTCCACTCAACAAGACATTGTGCATACCGTCCACCGCACGGTCAGAATTAAATTTTCTCGGGTTTAGATTAAAGAAATTTAATCTTTTAATCGTTAGAAGGTGTAGGCAGGTGGCAAAGTTACTATACATATGAATATTTTGTTAATTATAACATACGGTTGCTAAAAGGGTCGGTAAGGTTTTCCTAATGAAGGGTTTAAGTTACACTTACTGGATGTTCTAAATTTGTATCGGTAATATCGCTTTGAAGTAAAAAAAAACAAAAGGTTGATGACTATTTTTTGTTTGTCAGGCAGATTTGAAGAATACAAATCACGTATTGTTTAATTTAATGCGTAATCAAAAAATAACAGCGACACCTTTTGTTGAACTTAACAATACCCGCAGTTGCACATATGTCCATATAAATGACTTTATTTTAAAGCGACATTACCGATACAAATTTGACAATAATTATAGCTTAAAAGCATCATTAAAGCTCAAAGAACGATTTTGCAACTGACAGCCGGTTGCACACACGTCCATTTAAAATGTCATTAGTTTAAAGAGACATTACTGATACAAATTTACATCATTCGTTAGCTTAAACTCGTCATTAAGAATAAAGATTGGTGATGGTGTGATGACTAGTTTATTCAGAGTTAAAGTTTAATTTTAAATCTTATTAAATAACGAAACCTACATTTTCAGTTTGTTTTTCCACATAACGAACACAACTTAACAAGACCAGTGGTTGTAGCTTTAGGATTTACATTTTCATTTTTTTTTCCAAAATAATATCTTATGTCCATATAAATTGACATAGGAACAACTTATTTATCACCATGGTAACACCACATATTTTTTTTTCTGAAGAACAATTTTGGTTTTACGGGTTACTACGTGTCTGCTTTCTAGTGTCGACATGTTAAACGGTGTGTAATATACGAATATGTCGTAATAACAAAATATATAAAGTTTACAAACTATACTTTCGAATAACATAATTTTGTTTAATATATCAAGTACTTTTGAAACGTTATTCATTTTTAAAAACAGATTATTTGAATTAATTCTTGTACGATACCAAATAAAAGTTGGGGATTTTCTCTGAAGTGATGTCCTCTTAGCTAATATTACGTCCTGTTTAAACATAATTCCCGCCTACCAACTTAACCAAATAATTGACAAAATTTAATTAGCTTGATTAGTTGTTAATAAAATTTTAAGTAATAACTTGTTACTAAAATCTGTGTTTATATGTTATTAATCAGTCTTTACACTCTGTGTAACTTTACATACCAGTTATATGAAGTTGAGATTCATGATGATTTCTCTTATGAATATTAGATTTTTACCTTATTGAATATGGGTGTAGACAGAAATCGAAAAGGTACATATTTTTTTATCGATGTCACGTGACCGCAAACAGCTCGTGACGTCACGCCCTTCTTACTCTTATCGGAACTTAGAGAATTCAACCTTATGCATACATAGAACTATGGGTATGTTCCGATATACACTGCGACCACTGAATAGTATGACGTCAATTTAGTATACTGGAAGCCCGTTCCTTTATAGCTAGTTATACTGGTGACTTTTTAAAACGGAACGCAGTCCAGTATACTGTTAATCCTATTTTTTGGCGCCATTTTCAAATTTATTAATGCAAGGTGAATATAAATATAAAGATTCCCTCTTTTCAGAAGAAAATTGGAAAATTGTATGAAAAAATTATTTATCAATTAAATCCATCTTATAAATAAACGTAAGTATTTTTTTTATTTATTTAGAAACTTATCATTTTCTGATTCTGTTTCGACTGATCACGTGATCAAAAGCACTGCGAGCACCGTACCTCGAAATCTCCAGTGCTCACAGTACAAATATGGCGGCAATTTATGACGTCATAAATTTCCCTAGGGTACTGTAGCAGTGTACTGGATGTCCATAACGGAACGAATTTTTCAGCAGTAAGACCACTGCGCAGTGCTCGCAGTGTATATCGGAACATACCCTATATCCGTTTCGGAGACCCTTGACGTCATATCGACGCCATGACAGAAGTGGCATTATCGCGGGAAATTTTAATAATAAAAATAATATTAACTTTATATATGAATAATACTGTATATATTTCCCGTATACCTATAAAATTAAAATATAAAAAGATGTCTACACCCCTTTAATATGTAAAAGCTTTATATTCATACGTTAAGATCAAATGGCTTGGTGTGTGGTGTCTGTTTATTCCGGTATTGTATACAATACCGAAGAGGAAAAGGAGGTAAACAGGAAATCAATGTGAAACGACGTTGAGACTCTATAACTATATCCAATAATATAAATAATCAAAATGCACAATTTAAATCCATAAAGTTGTCGGCCGTGTTCTGTGATCGTTACAATATGTATCGCACTCCTCTTAAATTTCTAACTAATCAAATGACCTACAGGTATAATATAATAAGGTAGGTAAGTTCACATTGCTAAATATAGAGCAAGATCCACCTATTTTACATATTGCCGGAGGAACAGCTGGTACTCTAGGTATACAATTCCTAGAAATAGGGTTGATGACTGGGTGAAAAAAAGAAATTCTATTTAGATTGCCAGGCAAGTAATAGAAAAAAAAATAGATACGTATGTTTTTTCTTTGCTTCAATTTAATAAGCTTAGATAATGATGTTAAGGAGTGAGGTAGCGAACGTCACAACTACGTAGAAAATGTACAAAAATATGACGTCATGCTACATTTCAGTTCAATGTTCTGCTGTAATTTATTGGTTATGCAAAAAAAATACGTGTTTAATATTCTTTAATAATCTAGCCGACGGAGGGACAAACAATAATTATTTATCTCTATTGTAAACATTTCCTAGGGTATGTATGAAATGGATCATAGTTAATATTCATACATTCACTGAACGCCCCCGGTATTCTATATATTCCCTACATATTGTATACAATAACCGAATTATACTGATTGCCGGTAACATCTAAATTTTATTTCTATTGTAATATGAACACAACTTGGCTTTCAATTATAGACTACGTCGTAGCACAGATTTACGTTACGTCGTAGCATGTGCATGCTACTTACTAAGCGTAGCAGTTTATGGTCATCGTAGATAATAACGATTAGTGCATGTTCTTTGATATACGTAGAATTAATTTGTTTTATTGAAGCTGTGAATATTTACCTGTTTAGGTAAGGCACTAATGTTGATTAATATGTAAAAGAAGGCAAAAACTATTATTTTTGTTTTGTAAAAAAATATAATTACATGTAATTTTCGCAGCTGTAGCAGCATGCTCGGGGTAGGCCCTAGTGGCTGGTGAGCCTAATATTCTAGCCATGAATCTAGTTAAAAGATACGATATCTTGGCGATATTTCGTTACATTTCCCTACTTTGACATATCTTTTTGGAGGAAAAACGTGTGATACTATGCCGCAGTATCACAACGTTCAACAGGCATAATTCCCGGGTAACATAGTCCTGGTCAAGTCATAAGAAGTTAATTTTGATAATAATGGGTACAAACTATTATATTAAATTAATTACATTTTGAAAGTACTTTAATAAAATCTATATTGCGACAAAAAATATATACAAACATTATGTATAACAATTTTAATTAGTAGTCTATCTAGGTCATGCACTCAGCCCAGGGGGGGGTCATGACCCTATGAGCACCCCCTGGATCTGCCCTTGTGTCAAATCCATATTCATCTTTCTTTATTTGTTCTTCCTTATTAAATTACATGTCGAATTAGTTAAATGAAACGAAATGGCGCTATAACATCGCTAAGATATCGTATCCTATGGCTGTGGCAATAGGCAGTCGCTCTGCTGGTCTATCTATATCTCTATGCGTAGGAAACATTTTTGTTTGGATGAGGATTTTTACTGATGATCCAGTTTATTCGTAGATGCAATATGAGGGTAGATTGTCCCGGTGGTACTGATGAGACAGGTTGCGATGTGCACTGCTCTCCCCATTTCTTGTTCGAGTGTAAGCAAGAGCACCAGTGCGTTAGAAAGAGCGAGCTGTGCAACAGTATCAAGAACTGTGCTGATGGCTCTGATGAGACACCTGAGGCCTGTGCACAAGGTAGGTTCGCTTAAGTAGTATTAAGAACAACTTTCTGGTTTAATAGGTTTATTGTATATTTTAATCTGATTCTTCTTCTTTTTTTTTTTTTTCTATATGGACTTGTTCCGTTATACACGGAAATTTTGCCAACATCCCGTAGTGAGAGAGACACGTGATTTAAGAGACTGAACGATAGTTATAATTAAATATGTACGGTAATTAATCAAAATTTACCCGAGCAATATACGAGTGACAGCTCACTAACAGATAGTGATTCCCGTAATACAATCGATAAATAGTGATGTCGATATTTTTTTGGTATTTCCATAGGGAGTTATAGATAGTACCTTTAATTTAAACTGTAGTTTTAGATATTAAAAATTATAATCATGTGCTTTTTACTCACATAACAGATGTTTAACACTGTTTGTCAAGTCAACAGTTGTCTTCTTCTTCTTCTTAACTTTAATGGCACTTTGCGTCACTACAATACTGCCAACTTCACGTAGGAGACCATTACATGATTTAAATACATTAATTCAACTAATTTTGAATTACCAATTCTATCTTTCTACATGAATTTACCAAAAACAACACTTTAAATGATTTAATTACGTTATTAAGGAATTATTTTATATAAACAATCATTTAATCTTACCACAGACCATTATTAAATTAACTAATTGTGACAAAGTAAGTGAATCTAGTTTAAATGTTGTTAATGTACAAATAGCATGACATTGACATTCTATTATTTGATTTATCAATGTTTTTATTATCATGCAGCAATTATTTTATCAGTTCTTCTACAAAGAACATCAATGATTCGTCTAATACTTAATTGTACTTACGGAATGCTATCAAGTGAGAAATATCTCTAACTAAATTGTTAGCAATCTATATATTCAATATAAAGTTATGAACGTCGTCAGCTAATGACACAGTGCGTCGCCCCCCCCCCCCCCCCTCCTA